AAAAAAAAAAAAAAAAAAATTTTTTTTTTTTTTTTTTTTTTTTGCATTTTTATTGCTCTGCAATGGAACTGTTCAGCTTCAAAACTGCATCAAGAAAAACTCATATTCCTCATCAAATCTATAACAGTGCTATTGTTAGTCTTTTTTTTTCTTGAAAACTGCAGACTGAATCTTAACCTACAGGGCTAACTGTGATCGTTTTTAGTTCTTCAGGAGCACTTGTCATTTCAGTGTTAATGACATTACTCAGCGATTCTTTTTCTATTTAATTTCACTACAGAGCTTCAGGTGAAGTCCCTGACCCGCTCTCCCTGCACGCCTTGTGGTCCCGAGCACTCCCCACATTTAGAGGCACATTTTGTATCACGAGTATTGTTCAACCAAACTGGGAGGCAGTGAGGTTTAAGTGTTGAGTTAAAAACAAAACTACATTTTTAATTCTTGTTCAGAGTCAGTGTTGACTAGTGTACGCTAATAAACAAATTCATYACATTTGGTTTGATTAGGGTGAAACCTTTCTAGGTGCTTATGTCTCCATTTTTTTATGTCCTTATCTCAGTTGCCACAGTTTCATTAGAATGTACAGTATTATTTTAGATTTTATTTATGAAACTTATCAGAACACACACCAGTTCACATGTACATATTGCCTTATATTAAGCTGTGCCTCTGGAGTCCCGTGTAAGGCACTTGTGTTCTTTCTTTCTATTAAAGAGCGAAGCTGAAGAAGCCATTGTACCCTGATGATCTGCTGACAGGGGGTCGGGTTTTGGCTCGGTGGTCTCGTGCTCATAAGAAGCCCAGAGAGCAGCTCTGATGTGCAGCTCGTTGTAGCTAAAAATCCAGGACTTTAAAAAGGAAGAAAAAAAGCACATCATGGGTGAATTGTAATCAGAACCCACTTTCTATTGGTTTCTGTTGTCAGATTTGTGTCTTAAAATCTGTACCACGGTGCATTGRACTGCCCTGATGTGTCGAGGGTTTAAAGTGTTTTTGTTTTCTTTTGAGTTTTAACAACTAGGGTCCACTTCAGCCTTTTTTAACTCAAATCATTTTCTCCAACTTTAGCTGTTGGGAGTCCAGCTGGAGTAATCAAAGATGTTGCTAACCAACAGGACAGACTGCAGACTTTTAGCTGAATGTTGAGATCGTGCCTGTTGCCAAAGGAGGGGGGGGGGGGTGGTATGAAGCTGGACCGTTTCAGCTCATCAGTATTGCTGACTTGCAGTAAACTCGAACTTGCCCTGCTCTTGTGAAGTGGCTGCTCTGCGCCGTCCCCTCATCCTTAAAGGGAAAATCCACGTTCATTTCTGAAGAAGTGACATTTCGGTTTGCTTTACAGATGGTCTTAGATATTAGTCTTTTTTACTCAACAAAAAAAGTATGATGAATGTTTGTGATTGATGCCTTTTCTAAGGGACTAAAAGTTTGTGTCGAGGCTGGATTTTCCCTTTGAGTGAAGCCTTCACATTTCATGCAGTAGATTTCTGAGCTGGACTTTATGCTGAAAACAGCAGTTATGGGGGGTGAACTCTCTCAAGTGTCAGACTGTCACCTGGTTGCTTTCAGCTACAGCCTACTTTTTTTTTTTTTTTGCCTCCAGATTTTGAAGATATGAAGTTTAAATGTCTTTTTTATGGTGTTATGATGACCCCTCTCAAATTATAATTGTGTAAAAATGTTTCCTGTATTCATAAACACGCACTCCTTCAACATATTTCTGAATGAAACATGTTTCTTTTCAACTCTTGTCGAGTGGTTCTTATTTTTCCTTCACGTTTTTAGGTGAACTCAGGGGCGGTTCTAGGGGCGGGGCCACAGGGGCATTGGCCCCAGCTGAAATCTGATTGGCCCCCTGAAGTGCCTCTGTCCTTTACCTGGGAGTGATGATGGTGGATGCAGTTCCATGTTCAAACACTAGTTGCGCTAATGAGTCAAATAGTAAAGTCCAGTATGAATCAAGCTGACAGAATTCTTCTCTTAAGAAAATATGAACAATCCTGTAAAAAAATTCTTTCATCTGACAAATGTTGGTTGGATTTTTTTCCACACATTATGTGTTTGAAAATATGTTATCTATGTACAGTAAAATGTATGAAAAAGTCTTCTACAAAGACAGAATATCTAGCAGGATTCCTGGAACAAGGTTCCTGCCACATTGAAATGTCAGTAATTTCATTCAATTTTGGTACTTTTCAGGTGGGATAAATATGGAAAAAGGAAAATCTGTATGAAACAAAAACTGTTTCTAAAGTACTAAAATGAAAGTATGAAACCCCTGAGTAAAAGTGGCATAAGTGAAGTTTTTAAAGTTTAATATTGACATCATTTGTTATAATGGAGACAGCCACCAGCTCAATGCCAAACATTTAAAGGATTTTTCTAAAGATTTTAGCTAGTTTAATGTGGAAGGACCTCTAATTATGACATCATTGAAGCAATGACTTTGATAAAAAACACATGTTTAATTTTATATATATATATATATATATATATATATATATATATATATATATATATAGTAGTAAAGCATGAAGTTTTAATATTTTGACCGTTTTTGGGTTTTGCCAATGTTAAAAAGCAGCATCCCACATGACCAAACCTTATTGGTTATTTAAAAGTTGGTCGACCAATCAGTTGCTCTGCCTTGCCCAACTTAAAACAGGAWCAGCATCCATCTAACTTCCCTTTCAAGGACCAAACTTCAAGGTGTTTGTCTTAAAGTCACAAAACAAAAAGGTTTTAAAGTCACTCTTTAGTTGTCAAAAAAGTGGAGCATGGACAGGATTTTAGTTTTCAACAAAATCATCGTCATACTTTTTTAAAAACATTTACTAAGCTTAATCAGCAGTTTTCTAAAGCAAGATTTTGACACTTAAATTCAAYATACACTCAAAAAATGATCTGTTGAATTTACTTAAATTCTGTCAAGTGGTTCCGTACAAGATTTACTTGTGTTACTGTAAATCTCATTACATTTACTGCTTGGTGAGTGGAATCACTTGACAGAACTTGGTTAAGTAAATTCAACAAATCATTTTGTTACAAGGCTTCTCATGAAGCCGTGCACATTCCACCTGTCCTGTTCCTGTCCTGTTCCCGCCTCTCGTGATGTGAAGTCTGCGGCCTGCAGAGGCTCACTTCCCATTTTATCCTGTCTATTTCTGGCCATTGCCACACCCTCCCAATTGGCCAGGTTAAAAAAAAAAAAGCTCAACCAAACCAGTGTCTCTCAGGTTCTGAGTCACTGCTGCACTCTGACTCAACAGGTCCTGAAGGAAGAAGCTGCTGAATTCATGAAATAGACACATTTGGCACTTTTCACGGCAGAAGCTGGTTTCTGAAGATGCTCTGCAGCTCAGTGCTGGTGGAGCTGTGAGGACTGACCTGTGCCCCTTTTTTTTCTTTAAACTTCAGGACTGCAAACCTTTTTTTATTATTATTTTCCTGTGACAGCAGAGGGTTGGTGTGATCTGAGGGGGTGAGTTTGGATGATGGCTGGCTGCTGTGTGTCGGCGGAGGACAGGGAAACCAAGAGGATCAATGATGCCATCGAAGAGCAGCTGCGGAGAGACAAGAAGGACTCCCGTAGGGAGCTGAAGCTGCTGCTGTTAGGTGAGCATCTCTGCGGGGGGCGAGACGGGGGGAAGCTGTGGGGCTCTTACATAAAAAGGCCACTTCCAAGAATAAATGACAACTAATCTGCAAAAGTTTGATCTTCATATTAACCTCATTTTTTCTTTTACATACAAATCACTCTAAAAAACAGTCATTTAAAACGTTCAAATGATGAATTTGTTTTGCTTAAAAAAGGCGTGTTTTATAGTCAGTTAATAGTAAATACTTGAAACGTGCCATTACCTCATTGTTTCCTGACCACACCTGGACACGCAGGTTTCAGAGGTGGGACTGGATCACAACAACTAAATCTAAAGCTGTTAAATATTTAAAATACAAATGGAACCTAAAAAAAACTGCCTAACAGTTTACAGTCTAATAAAAATAAACTGTCAAATCCCTGCTTTTTAAGGATGAGTTGGTTCATGGATGTAACTGTATTATTGATAGCTGTAATGTTGTGTTACTCATATATAATAGTCTTAAAGATTTTTCCTTTACGCAGTTTCTTGACCGGGTGCGTTTCTCCACAGCTGCGCCAAAGTGGTGCCAATGTGTTTTTACACACTGCGGACAGTTTTAATGGATTGTTTTCCTTTTGACTTTTTGAGCACAAAGTTCATAAATAATTACACAGAGAGAAAGAACAAAATGAGTGACTTTTATCTGCTTGGTAACAAAAAGGCCCAACAATATATATATATATATTTGTCCCGTGCCTCTGTGGCACAGTCATCTCCCCTGACTGAACTTGTCCTTTGTTACTGTGCTGAACCCCCCCCAAACATTAATCTGCTCCAGTGAGTTTCTATCTAAATTACATTTTTTTTTTTTACTGCAGCAGTGTGGGAGCGACTGTGGGCCTGCAGTCGCTTCTTGGTGTGTTTGAAAAGCCATAACTAGCTGCTGCGGACGCGGCTCATGCAAAAAGCATGCAAATCATGGTGCGAGAACATGAGTGACAGGTTTGTACACATCAGAATAACTGCCATCCTATCATGGCTTTAAACCCGATTTAAGGTGGACTGAATAATCTCTGGAATAAATAAGGGTCTGGAACTGTTCTTAAACAGGCTTTGATGAACAGATCTAACAACTTTGGAAATGCATAAAAAGCCCAGAGGATACAGTTTTGATTACATCTTTAAATTAAAAAGTGATGGAAAGTTTTTGTTTCGGCATTAAACTGATCRTTATTTTCACAACTAAAGCTCAATGGTCTTTTGAAGAATTCAAAGCAGTGCAGTTATGATTTAAATGGGTCTAAAGTGATTACAGGTATGGTGTTATCTGTCATCTTCAACATGTTGCTGGTATTTTTGATGAGGTGACTCAGAGCTCTCAGAGGATTTCATTAAAACAGTCAGGGATGAGGTTCAGTCAGGCCTACGGGGAACAGAATAAAAAAAMCCTTTTCAACTATGTCAGGCTTGTTTTCTAGGATTTAAGGCGGCAAGGTGACAAAGTTAAAAATGTAAAAATAAAACTTGTAAAACTTGAGCAAAATGAGAAAATGCTCATCAAGTGGTTTTTAATATAAAAAGCATTATTTATTATTGTTGTTAGAAACATATTTGTATATATGTGCATGTTAGTGTAAAAACAAGTGTAAAACAAGAAAACTGAAAGGATAAAATGCCATAAATGATGCTAAAATGGCCACGTGTGCGAACACGAGTTTTATTTCTGCGTTCTTTCCACTCRCGTGTAAAAAGTGCTCAGCCTTAAATGAGCCGATACCAGCGGCTCCTGGCTTGAGTTTCAGAAAACACTACCAATATTCTGTCCGTTGAATGTATGTAAATCATATTTCAGGGGATGTTTGTGTGCTGAGGGCAGCGCGGTTCAAACTTTAGGAAACCAGATTGTTGCAGAATCTTCCTTTGCATCTCGTATTTGACTGCAGAGTCCCACCTGACGGGTAGGTTTTGTTTGCAGTTTGGTGGTAGTGGTTGTAGTACCGGTAGTTCTTATCTCTGTGATGTTAACACCACATCCATCCACTGTCGAGGAAGTGTGTGCGCAGATCACACTGAGAACAAATGTTCAAAGGCATCTCACATCGTTCTGTGTAAAATCAGTGTTTGTTAGGAGTCCAACACAAGGCCTTTTAAAGCTTTAGGGTTCATCAATTTTATGTTTTCCCTGCATTTTATTTGTACAGAAATCTGTCCAAACAAAACTTTTTTTTTTTTTTTTGCCCTAAGCAGAGAGAGCTCAGCTCACAGGTAACAGTGGAGCAGATACTGAACCCACCAGTTGGGGCCTGGTATCACTAATGAGACCGTTGCCTCGGTCTATTGTCGTGAAGTGGGGTRAGCTGAAAGACAAAGCTCTCAGTTCACTGTGCCATTGGCCTTCCAGGCCTCACCTTTGATCAGGTGGTGTGGATCATCATGACTGAAAGAACAAAATGAGACACAAGTGGCTGAAACAAGCTCCTGATGCTTCACGCGGCTGTCTGAGTCGCTGCATCTCCTCATTGAAAGGAGTTAACTGAAGTGGTTTGGACATCTGATTATACCTCCTGTACGCCTCCCTCTGGAGCTTTTAAAATTTAATATAACTTATTACTTAAACAACTAAATGCAAATAGTTTTATGGATAAAATGAACTGCCTTAAGAGACACTTTGATGAACCAAGAATAAATTCCACTTGATGCGACGTGTTGTTAACCAGAGGAAGAGGGTTAAAACGATCATCTCATACAAATTGATACAGTCACTATGTTAGATCATTTCTTTGCTGGACTGGTCCTTATTTTAGAAAAATCTAAGTCTTAGTTCAGAGGGGTTTTTTTTTCAGGTCTTCTCCCACAATGAAAAACTGTTGGAGTTATTTAATGTGCACAATCATCCTCTCTGTCTTGTTCACTTTTTTTTGGATGGCCTCCCTTCTCCCCTTATAGCCATCCTCTCCACACCATTATGATTTTTTTAAGTGAAGAGAAAATAGAGACAGAGAGAAAAACAGAGAGAGAAGTAATTAGAAAGATAGAAAGACTGAAGTAGTGATTAGAAGTATATTAAATATGCACCAACAAAACACAGGACCACACACCCAACATCTGTCCGCTCACATGAAAAATAAATGGATAAGTACATGGAGGGCATATATAAAWATATACACATACCCATACATATATAAAGATATACATACATACATGCCTACATTCATAAATATTGTCAGTATATACACACAGACATATATACACACTCAGTGACCTGTCAGAACCCCTGGATCAGAACACCTGTTTGTGAGCAGTTGTGAACATGYGTGTATATACAAGATTTATCCAATGGAATATTTAATAGTGACTGTGGAGGACCGAGACCCAACCCCCAAGACACGAGGCAGACAAAGGGAAGACCAGAGCCCAAGAGCCCGAGAGGGATCCCGAGCGCAGAGCCCCAAGGGACACCCACACGGGAAGATCCGCCCACCCACCGCCCAGATCAGACCATAGGGGAGAACTGGGAGAGTCCCCCCAGTGACCACACACACAGCCCCCGGGGCCAGCAGCGACAAACTCACTGTCTTGTTCACTTTAATGACAGGATGATTGTCTGCAGTTCAGAGTRCAATCAGAGAACTCTACAGTCCGATGAGCTGTGACCTTTGTGTCATGTGGTGAAACATCCTGGTGCTTGTAAAGYGACCTCTGTTTGTATTTTCTGGAGGTCTCAAGCAAGAAAACACTAAATATATAGAACTCTTTACACTTTCTCCAGCTTTGAGAAGTTTGACGAAGGCCTTTTTCAGCCACAACACAAGCGAAGTGAATACTGACAGTATTTGCTTAAGTCAACATCGTCTCTACTGAACTTTTATGACTTTTAGGTTTGAGCTACAATTCTATACTTGTTAAGGGAAAATGTGGATTTTTTAAAATTTATTTGTTTAAAAAAACAGAACAAGAAAAGGTATAATCTCCTGAATCAGTGGCTGTAAAGCTCTGGTTTTTAGAACCCAACTATAACATTATTTAGACCTGCAGCCTGGTTTCTGCTCGGTCTYGCTCTTCTTTTAGCTGCTGAGGAGAAAACAGTTGGGGCAAAGAGAGTTCCTTTAGACCAGTGGTTGGGCCATGAAACATCAAGTGAGGGTTCCCCAGATGGTTTCTAGACATCACTTTAAATGCAAATAAATTGCTAATGGAATATTTTTTTATCATWATTATTGAAAAAAAATCATACATGAATAAAAGTAGTATTAGGTTTGTTTATATTGTTATTATTCTCATGGTTTACAGAGTTTTGAGCAAAGTTTGCAAACCAGTAATATCTGGGGTCACAAGTTCTGCAGCTGTTATTCTGTGGACCGGAAACTAAAAAGTTTGAAAACCACTGCTTTAGCCCCTCAGGTCAGACCCGAGACTCCKTCATCAGTGTTATCTGAAATAACGGAGAAGGAAGTTGAGTTGTTACTCCTATTGAATGGACGACAGAGGTAGTCACAGGGCAGAGTTGGTGTGTAGGCATTGATTCCGTCATTCCTGCTTTACTTCTGTAAACATTAGACTTATGGCAGCCTAAAGAGGGGCTCATCTTAGCAGACATTTTGCAGAATTGTTTGGCGAAAGAGGCTGTTGTTCCTAATGTTGGAGCTGTTGATGCTGTGTTAAGGTTGATACAGGGGAAACTTTGAGTCTACTTGCCTGATGATGGGGAGAATGAGCGCGAGTTTCCATCAAATAATTCACCTTTGAAATTTGTAATTTGTTTATTTTTTAAATCAGCCAACATGTTCTGTTGAAGTTTTATCTTTTGGTTTACCTCTCATCCCGACCAAAGTCTGGTCTCTAACTCAGAAGATTTTCTTTATATGTGGCAGAATGTACAACCGAAATGTAGCGTGAGAACAAAACACATTAATGAGACGCCAAATTGCTGCACTTTAAAACTGCAGGATCCTAAATTTGCTTCCACAACTCATCTACCTTCTCCTGCCCCACCTCATCTCCAAGAAACTTGACTTGTAAACAAGGTACATTCAAATGTTGACCATTTGGCTAAACTTTGTTTGCCAAGACGCAAAGGCTGGAGTTTTCCTAATGCAATGCAAAGCAGCCAGGACACTTGAGTTCTGCTGAGATCACCGAGGCTGACCACAGCTGAGAGGCAGACGTCATGTCGCAGACGAACACATCCACCTGATGCACAGTACATCTGATAAACAAATACATTTAGCATTATTTGATCAATTGGAATAAATTACATCACAGATTGAAACTTGATAAGAACAAGATTAGAGGTAAATAGTAAGAGTGAGTTCAGGCAATTTAATCAGAGAAGATAAACAAATATGGATTAGTGAAAGTTTGTATCCATATCAGAAAAAGTTTGTTTTACATATGTGTAGACTTAGAAAAAAATTATCTGACAGAAGATGGATGACTGAATACAATTTTAAATTGCGCTGATTTGTGATTTATTTATCCAGAACTCATCTTAAACACATTAGCGATTCACTTTGTGTACCTAAATATTAGAAAACAKGAGACTTTTTGACAGTCAAATCTGCAGTCAAATCATTGGGTTTGCATGTGCATTCCTGCATAGACAAGGTAGCAGTCAATCATAATCATGTTGCTTTACTTTTTGTTTTACCCCATCCTGACACTTGGCAATCTGTGCAGAAACGAGTCTTTTACTGAAYCTGATGTAAAGCGGTCAGTGTGGCCAGAGATGAACTGTATGTTTAACCCACATTAGGTGTAAAGCAGAAGATGYAAAATAATTAAATATTTACATTCTTGACAATTTTAATGCTTTCAAATACAGGACACTGCTGTAATTTGCCTCAACATAAACCTGACAGCTGAAGTAGTTTCTTAAAAATTTACACAAAAGTATGAAGTTTTAAAACTATTGTTTAAAAAAATATTTTTAATTGTTATACAGTCGTAAACATTTCAGTGTTTCAGTGGCATTCAAAAATAATTTTATGGACAAGGTCTTTCCTGAAGGTAATAATGATTGTAATGATATAATAATTATAATGATAATAATAATTCGCACCAATATGGGAATTTACCTTGTTTTAAACTCGTAAAATTTGTGGTTCTCAGATTTGTCTGCCTTCTCATGTMTCCAGCACTACTTTCATTATTTAAATATAACATTTGTTGCATTTACATAGGCACTGGTGAGAGTGGAAAGAGCACCTTCATCAAACAGATGAGGATCATCCATGGAGGAGGATACACAGATGAAGACAAGAGGAGTTATGCTAAGCTGGTCTTCCAGAACATCTACACATCCATGCAGACCATGGTCAGAGCCATGGGGCCGCTAAATATAGCTTTCACTGATCCCAAGAACGAGGTACGAATAGGTCAAAGGGAGTGTGCTCCTCCAGTTAAAATGTCTTGGATCAGCAATACAATCCATATAAAACGTACATCTGAACCCTACATCTGTGTGTCCTCAGGACTATGCCAACTCAGTCCTGGAGGTGGAAGTGGACAAAGTGGAGGAGTTAGATCAAAACCTCGTGRTGGCCATCAGGAATCTGTGGAACGACCCCGGAATCCAGGAGTGCTACGACCGACGCAGGGAGTACCAGCTGTCCGACTCCACCAAATAGTGAGAATTTGAAAAGTCCTAAATAAAAACCTTCCAGTTGTAGGATAAAAAGCAGGCCCTCTTTCTTGGCCACAGTTATCACATTCAAGAATTTCTTTTAAAAATAACATGTAAGGCTGATTGGACAAGTTGTTGACATCTTTTAATTAATTTGTAAATAAAAAAGTCTTTGTGCTGCAAGATAGTCATAAACCCCTCTATCAAACTAGAATGGACCATTCTGAGCGGGGTGTGTAGCGCCTCGTTTGAATTTAAAGAGACAGCCTCAAAATGAGTTGATCTGCATCACGCCTCAGAAAAGGGGTGGAGTTTCCTGTCTTGATTTGTTTTTCTTCTGCAAATATTTTAGCTATCTTACCGACCTGGATCGAATCGCACTGCCTTCTTATCTACCAGACCTTCAGGACATCCTCAGAGTCCGAGTGCCAACCACAGGCATCATCGAGTACCCTTTCGACATGGAAAATGTCATTTTCAGGTGAGATATAAAAAAAGCTGTGATGGTTTGAAACAGCAGAAACAGGCCGAGCCGTTTACGTTGGGGCCGTTTTGTTGGCAGGATGGTGGATGTCGGGGGTCAGAGGTCAGAGAGGAGGAAGTGGATCCACTGTTTCGAGAACGTCACCTCCATCATCTTCTTGGTGGCGCTCAGCGAGTACGACCAGGTTCTGGCCGAGTGCGACAACGAGGTGAGAGTCCGACTCAGAATCAACCGATGAAGGAAATGTTGGGTTTCTTACGAACGGAGGCTCACTGCTGCTTCTTCCTGTTCCACACATCTGTCTCAGAACCGGATGGAGGAGAGCAAGGCTCTTTTCAAAACCATCATCACCTACCCCTGGTTTGAGAAGTCCTCTGTCATCCTTTTCCTCAACAAGACCGACATCCTCAAGGAGAAGATCATGTACTCTCACATAGCCACGTACTTCCCTGAATTCACAGGTTAGACTGACTTCAAGCACCATGTGCTTATTAAATGGTTTAATCTTACAAGTAGGTTTAAATCATTTGTACAGATTTGTGGAACTGATCTTGCATTTTAGTCAAGAATGAACATTAATTCAAGGGTGACACGCCTATAAATCTGCAGGCCCATCACTGGCCCCGCTTGGCCACTGTTTAAACTGCAGGACCAAAGTGCAACAGTAGGAAATGTTTTGTTTGTTCTTTGTTAGAAGAYTGAAACCTTTTTAACTCTAAATTTCAGGACCTCAACAGGATGCGGGCGCCGCTCAGGAGTTCATCCTCAAAATGTACCATGAACAAAACCCGAACAAGGACAAGAAGCTGTACCCCCACTTCACCTGCGCTACAGACACCGAAAACATCCGCTTCGTCTTTGTGGCTGTGAAGGACACGATCCTCACAGCCAACCTGAAGGACTTTAACTTGGTGTGAAAAACAAAACCAAAAAGAAAGATATTTAAAAAAATAAACACAACAAAATWTTGATTTTGTTATTTAACAAAAGACAAGAAAACATGACTTTTTGACCAAATACCTTCATTTCAAAAGGGTCAGAGCTGATTTAGTCAAAGAGGTGGTCATAGTGAATTAGAGGACTACAGAATGTGTAGACTAGAGTCTAGAAGGGAACTTTTTATAAATGCAGAGATTTTTATGATCTAAATGTAAATTAGTTGCACTGATCAGTTTTCAGGGCCTTTTTCAATGTCCGGCTTTTAAAAAGCWATGAACTCACACCACCAGCTTAATGGGCCTCCTCTCGTACTGTTACTGGATTAACTATGAAATCCTTTAGTTTTCTTCTTTTGGATTTTCCATCGAAACAGTCATCTTACAGTAAACTGGCATACATTTATCAACCGTTTTGATTCTAAATTTATTTACAGAGGTGCTGTTGCTTGCAGATATTAGCTGCTTACCTGTGGTGCCTTCAAGAACCAGAAAAAGAAAATCAGACTTGCCTTTAAGCTGAACATTGGCAAYATTTGATCACCAGCCAAGACACCAGTGCAGCCCTCCTGTAAATGATGCTTTGCAGACCAGTGCAACTGTAAAATGACAGTGACATGGTAAATGATGCTTTGTATGAATAGCTTTATTTAATAATACTGTAAACCTAATCTGAGTGCTTTTAAATATAGACAATACATCCACCTCTTGTAATGTTTAAACTGAATAGTGCCTTTTATTTATGCAGCAACATCAAATTTCTCTTGTACATAATCTGAGTTTTGTAGGAAACTGTTTAAACATAAATTAAAATATTATTTGCCTATTTTGTCTGTAATTATTTGATGAAGGGGGAAACATGATATGTTTGTGGCACAGTAAATGAATAAAACAGCACTAAAATTTGAAGCATATTTTTATTTTTTTAAACCTAAAAAGCCACAGCAGCAGACATTTTTTACTTTCCCTGAAAAAAACAAAATAAAAAACAGGAAAAGCGATAGAAATATTTAATCGTTTTCAACTTTGACACACCTGGAAAAAAAAACAATAAACACAAGAGTAAAAGCTGATAATTAATAATTAGAATTCCTTTCTTTTAAATATACTTTTCTCTGCATATTATATTGTTTGCATTGCATATGTGTGGTATAAAAACATCACCTAGATTAATGAGGATGATATTAAACCAAAGAATACTTAATATACAGCAGATACATGTGTAAATGTAGGTACAGTATAAAAATAGCATGCATGTAAATCTCTAACTCAACAGTCTTTATTTTGAAAATCTAAAGTAAAAAATAACAGTTTGAATGATAAAGAATATTAAACATACTTTTATTTCAGTTTGTTTCCCTTTTATGTTTTCCAGTAAAATAGTGTTCATCTGTAACTGTTGTAGTTAATTTGGCCTCAGTGTTTTAGAGATTAGTAGTAACATTTCTTGTATTATTTACAACTTAAAATGTTTTATGGCAATGCAAAATCAGCAACTCCTGTATTTGACAGCAAAACGCAGAAGTACAGAAACTTGGAGGTCTTGTTTGATCTTTCAGTTTCTGTCGGTAAACTCAAGACTTAATGTTATTTTCATCAAAGAAAAACTGGATTTGTGCAAAAATATAAGTGCAAATAGGGCAGGATAAAGTTTGGTTCATTGTGAGCTTGTGATAAAATAAGCTTAGTGTAGTTCAGAACCCCTTCTCTTTCCATGCA